GGCAGTACCCCCAGTTTATATTTCTACTAGTGTACCACTCTTTTTGCAATTGCTGGCTTCACATTCTTTTTTAAAAATATATTGCAAAGGTAATGTACAGAGGTGTTAGAGTTACACGGGTAAAGTAATGAGAACATCTTTTCAGTGTTACCCCCTCCCTCGTGTTCTCCATTTTCCCTTCCCTTCAGTTCCCCTCCATCCCAAGTTGCAAAGTTCATTTTTCACATAGGGTCTGAATATTAAAAAGAATATTAAATGAATATTAAAATGAATATTAAAATATTAAATAGGGTCTGAGTATTAAAATGATGGTCCTTTTTGGCAAGCAACCTCTTCAATAGAAAAGATTCTGACTCCACAGGCTCAATCTGGAAATATCACCATTCCCAGTGATGTTTTGTTACATTGGTTCACCCTTAAATGTCCACAAGCTGGGCCACACTAAAGCTCCAAGTACAACTATGTTAATTACAGCATATTTACCATCACTAAGATATGGAATCAACCCAGAGGTCCCCCAGTAGATGAATGGATCAAGAAAAAACAAATGAGCTCACTATCTTATTAATGTTAATGTAACCCCTATTACATCACATTGGCAATAAAATACACAATGGAATTTTATGTGTCCATCAGAATGACATTGCTTCATTCATAAGAATATCAAAAGACTTGGAAAAAATCAGACCCAAAGATACATAGGCTCCATGGGTTCACATTTTTAATTTAAACAGGATGCTTAACAGGAATGATTGATTACATTTTATCAGAAGTCCTCAATTCAAGTATGACGAATTAAAGCCAAGTTACCTGGCCAAGCAGGAATATGTAAGGAAAACAAGTCTTACTCAGCTGATTCTCTTCTAGTAGATCTAATTCTCCAGCCTCTAAAAAACCAACTCTTTTAACAAAATGTGACTTAATCAAAATAGCTTCCTGTAAGATGTTGGTATTAAAATGGTGGTCCTTTTTGGCAAGCAACCGTTTCAACAGAAAAGATTCTGACTCCACAGGCTCCTTCTGGTAATATCACTATTCCCAGTGCTGTTTTATTTGTATCTAATGAAACTTATTTACAATGGGAAATACTTTCAACTTTTTATAAGCCTCTGTGGTGGGTGACCCAAAATATTTTATTAAGCTTGATTCTTAATAGCCCCACAAAAAATAAAATACATAGGAATCAACTTAACCAAAGAAGTGAAGGACCTCTATGATGAAAACTTTAAAAACCTGAAAAAGGAAATCAAAACAGAACTTAGAAAGTGGCAAAACCTCCCATACTCCTGGATTGGAAGGATCAACATCGTAAAAATGGCAATACTTCCCAAGGCTATCTACAAATTCAATGCGATACTTATCAATATTCCAACCTCATTCTTCAAGGAAATTGAAGAGGCAATCCAAAAATTCATATGGAACAATAAAAGACCCTGAAAAGTAAAAATGATGCTCAACAGAAAAACCAGTGCTGGAGGAATATCAATACCAAGTTTCAAACTCTACTACAAAGCCATAGTAATCAAAACAGCTTGGTACTGGCACAAGAACAGACCTCAAGACCAATGGAATAGAATTGAAAACCCAGAAATGAACCTGCAGACCTATAGCCATCTAATCTTTGATAAGGGAGCTAAAAAAATAGAATGGAAGAAAGACAGTCTCTTCAGTAAATGGTACTGGAAAAATTGGTTAACTATTGGAGAAAACTAAAGCTCGATCCTTATATATCACCCTGCACCAGAATCAACTCCAAATGGATCAAAGACCTCGGAGTCAAAGCAGACACTCTGAAAACATTACAAGATGGAATAGGAGAAACCTAAGGTCTCCTTGGCATGGGCTGTAATTTTCTTAATAGAGACCCAGAAACATAACAAATTAAAGAAAGGTTGGGCAAATGGGATTGCATGAAATTGAAAATCTTCTGCATGGCAAAGGACATAGCTAGCAAGATCAATAGAAAGCCCATGGATTGGGAGAAGATCTTCACTCACCATTCAATGGACAAGGATCTTATATCTAAAATATACCTGGAACTCAAAAACTTAAATCCCCCAACAACAAATCCTCAAAGAAACAGCTGCCCAATAAATTTAAGTGGGGAAGAGAAAAGAAGGATGGCCAATAGACACATGAAGAAATGCTCAACTTCTCTAGCCATAAAAGAAATGCAAATCAAAACAACATTGAGATACCACCTAATCCCGGTTAGAATGGCTATAATCAAGAACTCTAATAACAACAGATGCTGGAGGGGATGTGAACATAAAGGAACCTTACTGCATTGTTGGTGGGAGTGCAAACTTGTTCAACCACTTTGGAAAGTAGTATGAAGGTTCCTCAAAACACTCCACATAGAGCTCCCTATAACCCAGCAATCCCACTTTTGGGCATCTTCCCAAATGATCACAAACAAAGCTATACTAAAGCTACCAGGACAACTATGTTTATTGCAGTATTATTTACCATAGCTAAGATATGGAACCAACCCAGATGCCCCTCAGTAGATGAATGGATCAAGAAAATGTGGTATATATACACAATGGAATTTTATGCCCCCATCAGAAAGAATGACATTACCCTATTTGTTAGGAAATGGAAAGACTTGGAAAAATATATATTAAGTGAAGTAAGCCAGGCCCAAAGAAACATAGGTCCCATGGTTTCCTGTTGGGAGCCAACCATAAAGCTCAAAGGTCATCTTGACCACTGTGCTCGCTGAAGGCAGGTACAAGGAACTGGCTTACTTGAAAAACACCAGGTGCCCTGATTGCTTTGCTGTGTCTGCAGGATATTTTACTTTCAACCAAATGACCTTGCCTTGTTTTTAATGTATTCTGTTTTTACTGACATTTTCCTTGTTTTTCTGGACTATAGTAACCTTATGTTACCTCTTGACTTCTAACCGTATATATTAGGGAAAGTTAAAAATAAACGATGCTGGAGTCTTGAGCTGCAGACCTCCGGACCCCATCCTTCGTATTGTTTCTTTTTTTTTCTCATCCTCCCCCCCTAAATCGGGATTCCCTTTCATTGCCGGCAGGATCCAGCAGTTTCCCTTATTTGCAATAACTAGTATATGTCTGAGTCAAGCAGAAAAGGTCAGATCAATTGATATTAGGTGAAATGAACCCCAAGATAAGTATTCAAATGTTTTTTCTTTCATGCGATTTTTTCTAACATGTTTATAAGATGATTTATTTGTTGCTTTGTATGTCCCTCCCCCTGGTATAACCCCAGCTTTCACTGTATTTGATATTGGTATAATTTGTGGAGGGGAAAGGAAAAAAACAAATAGTTTAAATAGGGATACAGATGGAACCATTGCAACAATGAGATGTACAAATCATTAGGTTGAAATACGAACTTTACAACTTTGGCAGGAAGTGGAGGGGATAGGAAAGGATGGGAAGGGTAAACAAAGGAGGAGGCAACAATTCTTGATAAGAAATGTACTCATTATCCTGCCCATGTAATTGTAACCCCTCTGTGTGGTATTTCCACAATTAAAAAAAATATTAATACAAAAAGGAATCTAAAAAAAAAAGCTTGATTCTATCCTGTAATGTAGAAAACACCAGCTTGAAATTTCATTAAAAACATCCATTACTCACTAAGTTTAGTAAGTGATAAAACAGATATCAAAACAGGACATGATTGGAATGATAAATTGATATTTTCTTTATATTTCCAAGTGAATTTGAACTTCTTTGTGGTTTCATATTGCTGTGTTTTGTTCCTTCATATAACTGAAGTTAAGGCCAAAGTAGGCTTGATTAGGTTCTTCAGGAGAGTTACCATGGTAGGAGAGAAAGCTTTGAAAGATCCCAATCTATATAATCACACTGAGTGGAATAGAGGGACCTGGCTTGTAAAGCATGAATGGTATGAATTTGTATCAAGTTGGAGCATTCAAGCATTTGAAGGAAGTAGAAAAGAACAGGAAGACAATTCGATACCATAATTTTATTATAATAATAATCTTCTATACAATAATTCCCCTTTATATCTCTGTCATCAACATAAAAGTGTTTGGTTCAGAAAATTTAATAATTGAAAGTTCAATGAACATATTTCCAGAGATTTTTGGCATATTTTACATCATTTTCTATGTCAATAAAAGTATATCAAAATTGACAAAAACTTTCTAACTATTTATGATTGCTTTTAATGTTCAACACTGAAATGCAAATTAATGGCTTATTACAAAACACTATGGTGTAACAATATTCTGTTTCAAATTACTGTGTGAAATTCCTTCAATGAAAGACAATGGATATTAACTTAAACATTTTGTAAAATAAAGTAGTTTATATGTTTTCATTAATAAGCTATTTAAGCAAAATTTCAATAGAAATTTTTCTCCATCAGAAAATGTTTGGTAATAATCTTAAAAGTTTGTAAAATGAACCTAACATATTTGGACATATGAAATAATGCATAATTTTCAGAGCATTCTTACCTAGAATATAATGCAAAAATATGAATTACATGGTTTTCTTACATTTTGGAATATATAAACATTTTTACATGTGTCTCTAAATTGCTCCCTGAATTAAACAGGTATGTAAATCTGACAAAAATGTGGATTTGAACTGACATTTGTGGATTTTTGATAAAATTATATTCTGTCTCATTTCCAAAACATTGAGGAAATTTCATGAAAACACAAGTATTGCAAGAATCCATGCTTTATATATAATTGAAATAAATAAATTGTTAGCCTTCTCCTAATTTGGGAAGGAGGAGGTAGAAGTCACTGGTGATCTTTAACTTTCTACAAGTGCAGGGGTTGATTTTTAATAGCTAACAGGGAAGAAGGATTTTTGGAGGCATGTACTAACAAAATTAACTTACTGAAAAAATTGTGATTGTTTTCAAATCCTTCTTGGCAAAAAAATATATATATATAAGTTTCCTTAAGAGAGTCAATGAGTGGTCTGTAGGTAGTTCATATAGAAAAAGAGGAAGCGCAAAATATGTGCATTTCCCTCTATTCAATTTTTGTTCAGAAAGTTACTTTGGAATATACTTTTGGCAGCAGCCAGAACATCTTTATTCCTAAAGCTGTAAATGATGGGGTTCAGTGTGGGTGTGAGGATGGTATAGAATATGGCCAGGAATTTATCCAGACCTGGAGTGTGGTATGGCCTAGGTGTCATATATGTGAAAATAAATGGTCCGTAATACATTATGACCACAATCATGTGGAAAGAACAGGTAGAAAGGGACTTTTTCTGCGCCTCTGAGGATTTCATTTGGAACACAGTGTGTAGAATTTGTACGTAAGACACAGAGATCATGGAGAAAGGGATCAGCAGGAAAATAATGGCACTAACATCAACTCCCCTTTCATAGTGAGATGTGTCAACACAGGACAATTTCAGCAAGGCTGGGAATTCACAGAAATAGTGATCAATAACATTGGAGTTACAGAATGGAAGGTGCATCACAATAGCTGTGTGAACTATGGCATTGAGAGTTCCAACCAGCCAGGACCCTGCAGCCATGAGCCTGCTGACAGCATCCTTCATGAGCACTGGGTAGCGCAGAGGGTGGCAGATCGCTGCATAGCGATCATAGGACATGGCAGCCAAGAGAAGGCACTCACTACCCAGTAGGATAAGAGACAGAAACAACTGAAAGCCACAACCCACAAAGGAAATAGTTTTGCTGCCAGACAGAAAGTCGGTGATCATCTTGGGGACAATGTTGGAAATGTGCAAGATATCCATGAAAGAGAGATGGCTGAGCAGGAAGTACATTGGGGTATGGAGTCGTGAGTCTCCTCGGATAAGGAGGATCATGAGTGCATTTTCTGTCACACTCATTATAAAGATGACAAATACACATGAGAAGAAGGCTAGACTTGCTTGGGAAGATGAGAAAAGTCCCGCAAGTATAAAGTCACTACCAAAGTTGAAGGTGTAATTTGTATGTGCCATCATAAATTCTCCTTTGTTATCTTCAACTAAATAGATAAGCAAATGCATCATTAATTACTTAATGTAAGCGAGGAAAGGTCATTAAGTTTGGGCTCATGTACATATCAACATAGTAAAATGGAGTGAAAACAATGTATAACATGCAAACAACATCTAAGATTTCTCTGCTACTTCATGGAAAGAATATTCTTTAAAAATCTGGAAAATCATTTCTTCAAATCAAGTGGCCCTATCACTCACTCATTGTCTCATTATTTTAAGTCATTTCATACTCTTTGCCCAGCCAGTCTTCTCTCAAATGTCATCTTCTGAGGAAGCCTATACCTGCATACTCTAGGTGGCCTTAATTGCTGACTGAATCTTTGTATTTCTTGGGCACCCTAGCTCAAGTTACTTATGAATTGCTGATGCTTAATTTTCTAGCAGATTAATAAAAATATTCTTTGGTGCTATTTCTAACAGAAGAATCTAACTTGATGTTGCTCACTTGTATAGACAAAGGCCTCCACTATCACTAGTTTAGCAGTTTGTTACCCACCTGAATTCACAGAGTGAGCTGAGGAACTTGACAATTCTTGAAATAAACCTAAAGGGAATGACATGCATTATTTCTATAGCTTTCCAATGCAAATAAAGAAAAATTGACTTAATCTAAGTTTTTATTTGCAACATCTTCAATCTTACATTTAAAGTCAAAAGTTTTGCTCATAAAACATCACAAGCAGTTCCTGAGAAAAGTTTTTACTTTTCATTACTTTACATGTTTTGGATATATATAGAAAATGGATACAATACATATATAAAACTTCCTATCTTTGTATATAGGATCTATTGCTAAAGTAATTAACAAAATAACAACACTGACAGTGATTCTCCTAATAGTTTGAAAAGAACAAACTTTGTTTTACATATTTTTCAATCCATTATTTTACAATGTTTCTTGAAGATTAAAAGACAAAAAAACACAGTACTCATACAAACAATATACACATAGAGATTAAATTCTGGCACATAATACTCAGAGACAATGATCAAATTATTATTGTTCTGTTTCTCTTTATTAATTTTCATATTTAACTACAAAACAGCAATTCTTCTTATTTCTGTACATTAAAAATAAGTCCTTAGACCATTATAAGCCAGAAAGAGGGAAATATTTTACAGTATGTGATAAAATATAACTATATATAGTAAAATGTAAAAAAAAACAAAGGTATTAGAATTATATTTTCTACTCACTGATGGATAAAATTCTCCCATGATAATCTGTGAGAAAGGCTCTCATACAGATAATGAGAACTTTTTATCTTCACCAACAACAGGCACATACAGTTTTTTATGAGGGGCAAAGCAAAGCCTATTGTATGAGATCTGACAACTGTTCTGCTCACACATTCATATCATACTAGCCTTTCACCCCTCCTGCTTTATAGAGCATTGCCACAGTCCATAAATCATTGCATGAGTAGCCAGTTTGTTCAACCATTGCTGCCTTTCCATTTTATAAATGCAGGTTCTCACAGTGAGATAATCTTCAGCATATTTTTTTAAAAAATCTTTCCTAATTAAATCTCCTAAAACAATGATTATTGCCATCACATAAAATACTCCATATGCCAGACATCTTTGTCATATTCTGCCTACAAAACAGATGCACATACATTACAATCTAATGTGTTTATGGTAGGTTTAAACTGTCTATTCTGCATATGTTTCTCAAACAAACAGAATTTGTATTCACTCAGAAACCTACCTAAAATATTATCATGCTCAGCACCTTTGTACCAGTGGATTATGAGAGTGTGGCAAAAGGGCTAACTCCTGATCAATTGTAACACAAAAGTTGAGGTACTGAAACAAAGAACTTTCTTCTCTTTATCTCTCTGTTCAGCACAGAGTATGATGACATAGGTCCGTGTGGTGTGGCTGTAATGATTTCACTGAGACCAAACCCCAGGGATTCACATAGAAAGCTAAAATTGCCAGCACATTTCCTATGGATTATGAGCTACATAAGAAATGCAGTCTGCAAAAGCCAGCCCTAGAATTGAACATGTTATTTCTGTTAGTTCAAAACAAAGCATATTGTATATATTTGAAACTTAACCCTATGACAAATTGAGCATGTTAATTCTGCTTGTTAAAAGCACTACTATATAGTATATATTTAAGATTCAAGCATAATTCATGAGATGAATGTACATATTTTAATGGTTATCACAGCAAGTGCGATGGACCAGCTTGGCCGGAGCACTGGGACCAATGAGACAGGGATCTAGGGATAGGTGGGCAAGGAGTCGGCGAAGTGACAAACAGACACAGACTCAAAAGAGTTGCATCTGAGTGTATCTTTACTGAGGAGAATTAACATTTTTATACAGTGTGTGATTGTGACATAGATTCTTTGTTTATTTAAGCACATAATCAATTTTTTAAAGGTAAAACATTGATGAATTACATGAAAATTGATGACTATCCCACCAACTGTTTAAGCTAAGTGGTGCGAAACAAGTCTAACATATTGCCTAATAGAATGTGTCATCTATTCAGCCTTTTTACGTTTAATAATTAATAAACCTAAGACAGGGCTGTACTTACATTGTACTCTTTTTATTTTTATTTTTATCAACTATTTTTTCTTCATAAGCTCCTGTATAAGGAAATGGTTTTTGGTTGGTTCAGGAAATATGATGTTACTAACTTTATATTTTGTGTGAAACCCTATAACATAAGTTGGACTAAATCATAACTGTTGGGAGAATCTTTTTCTTTTTCTTTTATAATCAGAGGTCCCTTCTTTTTTAGATCTCTCTGAACTACTGGGATAACTCTTTCTAACTTAGTTTAATTCATTGATTTTGCCTGTTGGACATATCTGAAAATTTTAAGTCTCTATATTTACTATGCGTGAGCTGCAAAACCACTTGTGAAGTTGTAGGAGTTTCTGTAGACAATGTCACATCAGATGATAGATTGATTGGGGCATTGCCCACATTTAATCTTTGGTCTTAGTGTTTATTACTTAGAGAAGCCATCTCTATTGGACTGGAAAGATACAACATGCTCTGTTCGTGGATCAATACAAAAATAGCCAAAACGAAAATAAAGACAACAAATGTACAGCCAAAAAGAATATAGTAAGAATAAAGGTAGAGGCTATAAAGGTGCAGCCAAGTGTATGGGAAGCCTTGAACCAACACCCCCCTTCCTGCAGGCATGCTTCCTTAAAGCTCTTTGTCTAACGCGATCTCCCAAGCAGACTGCGCAGAAGGTGGCCTGGCAAGCAAGACAAATAAAGATGTCTGGGGCTGGGAAGGTGGCTCAGTGGTAAAGTGCTTGCTTTGCATGCATGAGGCCCTGGATTTGATTCCTCAGCACTACATAAGCAGAAAATGCCAGAAGTGGCGCTGTGGCTCAAGAAATAGAGCGCTAGCCTTGAGCCCAAGAGCTGAGGGACAGTGCTCAGGCCCAGAATATATCCCCCAGACTGAATCTGTGAATGTATATGGAATGAGAGTTTATATATGACTTGATAAAGTATACATGGAGTGCAGCATGAAGCCAAAGAAATGGAAATCACAAGTGAGATTTGTTGGGGATTTTGAAAAACAGATGGTAGTGAATTATGAGTTTTTTAAAAAAAAATTGTGAGAATACCCTACAGAGGGGTTACAATTACATAGGCAAAGTAAAGAGTACATTTCTTGTCAACCATTGTGGCCTCCTCCTTTGTTTCCCTTTCCCATCCCTTCCCATCTCCCACCCAACTTCCCCTCCCCCCATCCCCAATGCCCACTCGCTCCAGCCAGAGTTGTAAAGTTCCTTTTTCAACATAATGACTTGTACATCTCATTGTTGCAATGGGTCCACCTGAATCCCTATTTAAACAACTTTTTTCCCCTCCCCTCCACAAATTGTACCAACATCAAATACAGTGAGAGCAGGGGTTATACTGTGGGGGAGGTACATACAAAGCAACAAAGAAGTCATCTTATGAGTATGTTAGAAACAATCACATAAAAGTAAAAACATTTGAATATTTATCTTGGGGTCATTTCACCTAACATCAACTTATGTGACCTTTTCTGATTGTCTCAGATATATACTAGTTATTGTAAATAAGGGAAACTATGGGGCCTATGTTTCTTTGGCCTGGCTTACTTCACTTAATATAATTTTTTCCAAGTCTTTCCATTTGATAACAAATGAGGCAATGTCATTCTTTCTGATGGAGGCATAGAATTCCATTGTGTATGTATGCCACATTTTCTTGATCCATTAATCTACTGAGAGGCATCTGGGTTGGTTCCAGGTCTTAGCTATGGTAAAGAATGCTGCCATAAGAATAGTTGTGCTGGTAGCTCTAGGATGGTCTTGTTTGTGATCATTTGGATAAATGTCCAAAAGTGGGATTGCTGGGTTATAGGGGAGCTCTATGTGGAGTATTTTGAGGAACCGACATACTACTTTCCAAAGTGGTTGAACAAGTTTATACTCCCACCAACAATTCAGAAGGGTTTCCTTCTGTCCACATCCCCTCCAGCATCCGTTGTTATAAGAGTTCTAGATTATAGACATTCTAATTGGGGTGAGGTGGTATCTCAATGTTGTTTTGATTTTCATTTCTTTTATGGCTAGAGAGGTTGAACATTTCTTCATGTGTCTATTAGCCATCCTTCTTTCCTCTTCAGAGAAGTTTCTCTTTAAGTCTTTAGCCCATTTATTTATTGGGCAATTGTTTCTTTGAGGATCAGTTGTTGGGGGATTTAATTTTTTGAGTTATGTTCTATAAACACTCTTCAAAGTTTTATAAAACACAAACAGTACATGCATTAATATTTTTCATATAAATGATATAATTAAGTCAAAGAATAATTCTTAACTAGATATACAATTGCTGTAAAATTACTTAGAAACATTGGTCAACTTGTTATTTTCAATATAAGTATCTGTAGATTACAAAAGGTATCAAGTAATAAAAAATGAATATAGTTTCCATGTTT